CCCCCAAAACCCCAAAACCCCAAAACCCCAAAAATCGCAACCTTATTGAAATCCCAAAAATCTTCTCATAAGGCTTCTAAGTCACAATTTCGAATCTTAAATTCAAAATCATAACACTCTGCTTATGTAAACCTAAACCTGGCCTTGTCGTTGCCGCCCAAGCCCTTGGTGGCCCATTGTTTCATGAACTGGGCTCTGACCTTACTCTCAGGGATTTGTGGGTTCTTTCGCTTGAATTCGAGGTAAGATAGGCCACTTGGCTCTTCTGACTAAGGAAGTAAGCAGGGAAGAGTACCTTAAGTTCTTCTAATCTGAGTCCAGAAGACCTGTTCTTACTCGGCATCATATTTGCAGCATTGAATGGAGAAGTGTACTTTGCCAAAGAAGGTTTCTAAAGATGAAACAAGCCTTACCATAGGCAAAGAGCTCTGGTTCTCCCTGAAGAAGGAGTTAACAGGCTTTCAACTTATTTTTGGCTCTTTTAATGGGGCTCTAGGGGGTTATTCGGGTATCTTACTTTTTGTTATGACATTTGTTGATGGCGATCCTGGTTGTATCGACTATATGTTAGAAAGAGATTACTGAAGATTATTATTGTGATTATCAAAGTGTTGCTGATCATTGTGTAGTAGTAGAGGTCTTCCATTAGTTTAGACCAAGCATTTTTATTATTCAGATAGATCAAAGATGATGATAAAATGGAAAAGCATAATTCATTGAGGATTTCAATGAGGTTATCTTTAAATGTTTCTAATGGTCTCATTATACATATACCCACAAAATAGATTAACTGAGCTGTAATGAACATTCCTAAATTTTCAGCTTTGCCTGTTGTAATGAAAACAACTCAGATCACCAGTAGAGTTCTTCTACCATAATTCAACAGTAAGAATGATCTACTAATCCAGCTGTTTCTAGTTCCTGTGAATATATCTCTAAAATATGTCTGATCTTTAAAAGTGTTAGGATCTTTTGATCTCAAAAACTCAACAAGCATCAGTGCAAGAAATCCGAATGAGAGAATTGAAATTACAAAAGCATAACTCAATGAGATTATATGAATAGTATTCTGAGTCGAAAAGTATTTAATCTCATACAGGCTTGCGAGCACCATTATTTGGAATGATTCTATAATGAGTCTGATATAGACACCGAAAGTCATCCATCCTATCACTTTATCATTTGCTTTGTAGTACCATTTGGCTTGTTTATCTCTTGCTTTACATCATTTTCTGATAGAAATCAACAGCAAATGGAAGAGGGCAAGTAATACGAGTAAAATTAGGACAAAAATATGATTAATAATTGTAGATCCTGATTGAAGCCCAATTCCATCCAAGTAGTCTGAATGAGTCTCGAACTTAATGTTCATGATAGCCGGCAAGTCTGGTGTAGGTAAGAAACCAAAGTTGAAGTTCACAAACGACATTCCTTGGAGATATTGCTTCACTATTTCTGGAATGTAGGCTTGAGTTAGTGGCAAAAGCATAGTCAGCTGAATAATGCTCAAAATAGACCACAATGACTGTAGTGAAGACATTGATAGAAAGGAAGTTCCTGTCGAGACAATCATAACTGCAATAACTGCCGCTTGAGCAGCAGTAGTTGTTCCCTGAGGAATAGTTTCTGCTAAAAAATCAAAGTATGTGCTTACTTTGATTATTTTGAGAAGGCTCTTTATAATACACAAGTAGATCAACTTTATTTTGGTACAGCTGACAATCGCTTGTAATGTTTGATTGAACGACAAACTGATATGTTGTATTTATTGTCGTAGCAGGAGCATTTGCAGTCAAAACCTATGAAAGGATTGTAAATATTAATTAATCAAAAGAAATGTTCGAAAAATAATATCGATTTAAAATTATCATCAGTTATGAACATTTTTCATTATTCAAAACACTTAGCCAATGCTAAACTTACACCTGAGTTGATATTGATCCAACTAGGCATTGCCTCTGATTGGTATTGAGACAAATTGTATGAAATAGCCTCAACTCCATTTTCATCTCAAGGTATATCTAATGAGAAAGTGTTTGTGGTATTTTGCTCAATTTCTGCTGTTAAATTTTCATCTAAAAATTAGCTTTAAGAATACTAGTTCTGTATATCTTATCGTACCATTGCTCTACCATCGTGATGCTTACTAAAAATCCCAGTTATTAACTGACAAAAGACATTATTAAAGAAACAATCTTGAGGCGAAATTGAAAGACTACAATAAAGCTCCTAATATTTTCTAAAGTTCCAAAAGGCTTCCTTATTCTCAAAATAATTGAAATTCTGGAAGACTTTAACGAGACAAAAAGATTTAGACTGAATCCATTCTATATCTCGGAGATCACCTAATATGCACTGTTTTATCTCCTTTTAGACTGACCAAGATTCTCGTTGAATACAAACAGAGTACAAAGAAAAAATTTATCAGTTATGTTTCACTCATAATCTTATTATTTCCTGAATTGCAAAGAAAGCTTCCATCAGAATTGTTAAGGTAAGATATTAATGAAGTTAAACGAGGTTTTGTAAATACATAATAAAGAGCCTCAAAATGGACATAGAAACTCTAATTAGAGAATATTTCTGAAGAGTTTTATAGCATTCTTAAGCAGCTCTTAAGCCATCAAATGGTTTTAAGGCAGAGTTCTTGTTAGTCGTAATCAAATGTTAAACTCCTAATAAAGTACTTACTGATATCTGGCTTGACAAATAAAGAAGCATCATTAGTCAGAGGAAAATTGTTATAGCTACCTCCGGTTGGAAGAGAAGCAGAAAAGTTTGAATACGGATATTCAGCATTTCCAACAACTGTGGAAACACCTACACTAGTAATCACAAGATCTTTGTGGACTATAAATTACACCTTAGCTGATATACCTTCGTATTTTTCTGATGAGAACATGCTTGAAGAAGGAATCGCAGACATGACATACTCAGTGGCTCCTATAAATCAATCAGAGATTTCTATCTAAAAGGTTCATTAATCTTTGCTCTAGGCAAACCACAGTTCATATCAACAAATAAATGAAGATATCTCATTAACTTCTATGTCATAGCTCAATATAGCAAGATAAAATTTAAAGAAAGTAATTAAACTACAAACTTTTCATCTGAATCGTTTGCATATGAAAAAAGAGAGAACCTAAGTTAGTTTGATCCTTAAAGAGTATCCAATTATGCGAAGATGTTGCAAAGCAGAGTTTTTGAACCAATCTGCTTGTAGTAACTTTCGTCTTACCGTTCGTCCCAATAAGGATGATCCTAGAGGCAAATTAATAAACACAAATTTGGTTTAAATGATTGAAGAAGACGTTTTCAAACACATTAAGAAGATGTTGACTTAAAATTTAGAAGTTTACATATGATTTGAATATCTCGAAATTAGTAAATACTGAACTCATTTGTGGAGAAATTGAGTTTCTTTTAAAATATTCAAGTTTATAGTACATTTGAGTGTAAAAACAGGCCTTTACACTTATTGACATACTTGTTGGAATTACTGCTTTTTGTAACATCATTGAAAAAATATCCTGTCGTCTTGAAGAAATTGATTGCCATGGTTATAGTGTTGAAGATCAACACAACATTAGGTTCACTATAATAGATTACAAAAAGATTACCTATTAGCAGAGCAATCAAGAGTAGTGATGGCTCTTCCTGAATCAAAGATAGCTTTAGCTGTAAATCGCGTTCCTTTTAGAGTGAGATAAGAACTTACAAAAATTTTGTACCCTAGGTCGACTATATATAATGTTCATTTCGGTATTTAGATCATAAAAAGAAAATTAGAGTTATATTTGCTTTGTTGAAACTTAGGTGGCATTTCTAAACCATCTAATAGTCTTTTAATAACAGTCTATTGATTCATTAGTATAGTTAACTTCTCTGATCTAACTGTACTTTCATACTCTAGTGATCTACGATATATTTATATCAAGAATTCTCATCTAAATCTCCAAGAAACTGTATTTATGTCTCATTAAATAGGTGATAAATTCTAAGAAGCTAAGATGACCTTCACACATATCAAAATGAGAGCCTTCATTTATAAGTTTCACACAAAATATAGAGTAGAATTAAGGGCTAAGACTAACCTCTTCCAAAATTAAAGATATGCTTTCCTTTTATCTATCATTAAGCTCTAAAGAAGCCTTAAAAATTTGGATAATGCATGTTTTAATCTAAATTCTACTACAGCCAAACTATTGATTATAATTTTAAGCCATTTCTGAGGCTCATAAACTATGGAGTGTGATTCTCTTCTCTGTTTAGTGAAAGTAAGTATATATTACTCGTGAAATATGCACCATACATAAAGCCATGTGCCTCCCAGAAGCAATTAGTCTTTAAATTTCTATGAATATTTCAATATGTAGAAGCTTTAAACTATTCAGTCTCTTCATTAATGGATCTAGATGTATATGATTCATATTTAGAAAGATATAAAACTCTTCAAAAAGCCATCAAAGTCATAAAGTATGAATGTAACTCAGCTAACTTCTTTATTGAGAACAAGCCTCTATCATTCTTGATGCTCATGAAACCCGAATGGCTTGTTCTCTCCACTCACTCTATTTTTATATTTTTCTAAATCAAAAGAAATGCAAAATTTCTTGCCTAAAGACCTTTAAGAATAATTAAGAGAGAAAAATAAGTCTATCTGAGTTCATAAATCCAGAAGAAATATTTAATAGAAGACTTGACCCAAAATATTTTCTTCTGAGTGGCAAAACTCTAAACTTTTAAGAGAAGTTAGAAAAATTTCCTTTTAGAAGGATCTAATTCCTTGCTCATTCTGAGGTATTTGGCTAAATCACATAATACCTTAATAATTATTGTAGATAGGTAAGAAACAAGTGAGATTTGAGTTTTTCAGATTCCAAAATTACCAAAAGGTCATATTAAAAAATTGCCAGAAAAGAAAAGGATTTAGAAATTAACTTACTTTCCTGTGATAATAGACCCATCACTAGCGTTAAGATAATAAACAAGCAATGACATCCCTGCCCAATCTGAAAAGTGGACTAGAGCAGTCTTATCGTCAGTGACAACTGCTTCTCCTTGCTCTTTGACATTTGAACCAGAATTATTCCCAATGGTGAACCCCCATAATGGTGTTGATTCTAAAAATTATGATAAAATTACCTCCAATATTTAACCTAAGGAAGAGCATATCATTGGGAGCTGCAGTTGTACGTGATGTGAAGAAAACTACAGGTTAGCCTTATCTTACCCGAAGTAGTTTCGATCAATGTCAGAGATGTGATATCTTGGATTCCTGGAAATTGAGAGCAATTGAATTCGTTGATTCCCAGAGTATAGTCTCAAGCTACTACAGAAGGAGACCCTATCAATGAAAATACTCCAAGGAGTTTTGTGCCTAAAGCAGTGTGAACTCTTTTAATATCTATAGCTTACCATTTTCAGAATATACCAGATTTGCCGTTTGAGTTCCAGAATCATACAATTGTCCTACCCAATAAGCCCTAATCACGGACCCATCTGTCGCATTTAACGACACAACAGTCGGAGATGTTTCCAAGATATACGATATCTCAGTCCCATTTGGTGCTAAACTTATCCCTCTTCCTGACGGAATGCTGAAGAATTATTAAATCCCTTGAAATCAAAAGGCAAGTTTGGTAAAATATTTTCTCTTACTGATTATAGCCCTTGATCCATTGGGTTACAGAGTGGCTGTCAGATTTACGAATCACAAGCTTTGTGTCCGAGCTGCTCGGGATTGAAACAAACCAAGATGCATCTAAATAATTTGGAATGGGAGCATTTCTTCATAGTTGAAATATATACAATATTTGGTAGATGGTTTTTCCAGCCTGGAGAAATTCACAGAAGAGAAGGTAATAGAATTTGGAGGGTACAAGCGAGAATTGGAAATAAAGGAAAATTAAAGTTGGAAGAAACTGGAGTCTCTTTTCCTACTGTTTGTAACTATGAAAGAGGTTAGCATTGTTCTTACAAAATACTCTGACCATGTCAACTGATGTGAAGCCGGAGATATCTAGAGTGGTAAGCAGGGAAATACTTGATAGAGTGAATACTTCCTTCGTGAAGTATGATGTTTCTTGGGATATTTCTTGAGTAGTGCCTAAACTTAATTTTTTTAATTACAGATAGCTGCATAGGAGAGATTTATGAAGAGATTTGCAAGGATTCACAGGCTCGCAATAGCTTGCTTTACCATATTTATAATATTAATTTATCAAGCTTTCAGATCTCTTTAGGGGTTTTGGGGTTTTGGGGTTTTGGGGTTTTGGGG